GTTAAGTACTGGTACCGATTCCCAGGTACTGGATATTGGTACTGAATCGATTCAAATGTCAAAGGTACCCATCCCTAAAAAACAACACATTCCACCTTTCAGCATCTCAAAGAAAACACGAACCTCAGCTTTAAATAGGGAAATATTTTAAATTTCCCTTACAAGAACAAAAATTCACAAAATTAATCTACTTAGTCCTAGATACTATGGTACTCAAATACATAAAACACAATAACATCTCAACATWCATAAATCTGCACACAGTGTTGTGGTTATAAAACAAAAAGATTCTATGTTTCGTCACATTTTCAAAGAGCCACTGCAGAGGGACCAAAGAGCCACATGTGGCCCCAGAGCCGCAGTTTGCAGACCCCTGACCTAGACTCTTCAAACCTGGACTAGATTATTCTACTCTAATACTAGAATATTTTAAACACAAGTTTGGTATTTATGAAACCTTTTTCTGATTTGTGAAACTTCAACAAATGGAATTTTTAAAATAATATTTTAGGGAGCTGGGCCACACTAGACCTGGTCCAGCTCCAAAGACTACAACACCTAGACTGTCCAGATCAGGGCTCATATTTATCAAACTTCTTAGAGTGGATTTTTTAGAGTTAAGTGCTGAAAATGTCTTAGATTTGCTCCTACTCTCAGAYTGAAGTGTAAGTGCCAGTTATGAAAATTCTTCAGTCTAAGAATCAGTCTTACTCTGAAGAAAAGTTCAGACTGATCCAGAGGACTCTTCAGTGGTTCAGAGTTWCCACTAGRKGTCTGAGMTGRACTGAAGACAGAGATYWCAGCTGTCCTCCTCCCCACCTGACTGTTATTCTCTGTTATAAGGTGGAAAACAGGTTTAATCAGAAATACAAAAGAAACCAAAGGTAAAAATGAAAATAAAACTGCGTATAATGTTGGAATAAAAGGTGGATATTTGTGTTTTTACAGTGGGATTGAACTTTTTCGTAACAATCACGCGATACAATGATGGAGAGCGCGGGGGTGGGGCTGTCCTCTCGGACCAAGCTGTTAGTGACGGAGCAGAGTTGTGTGTGCGAAGCGGGGGTGGAATGGAGGAGGAGAATCAGAATCAGGTTTATTATGTTGACACACAAGGAATTTGTTTCCAGCTGTTTGTGTCTCTCTAGTATTAGCACTATACAGGTACTTTACATATTATTTACACATAGTACAATGTATGTGACTTGTGTGCATCTGGCATGCGCTAATTGCAGATTGATTATCAGTTGAGTCTTCCTCGGTCAGAAGGATAAGTCCACTCCAGTGGTGCCGTTCAGAACATTTATTGAGGAAGGAGTAGTAGCAGGTACAGAAGAGATGATGTGGTGGTTCAGGTTTGTGTAGATTTGCAAGTGTGCACGTGTGGTTATCTGAAATAAAAGACAATAAAAAATGTATAGACATGTTGGTATACACATAAATGCACTGTGCAGTTTTGGCCTGCAATACCAAAGAATCCAATAGATGGAGCTCTAACACCACCAATGAATTATCAATAACATAAACYTGACAAAGTGCCAGAAATAACTAGATAAGCAGTAAATTTAACAATAATTTCAATATTTTTGACCAAATATATCTTAAGTGTTAACTACTTTGGGGACATGTGTTGAGCACCGTTGAGAGCATTTACTTCATAATACAAATAACACAAGGACAGTTTCAAACCCCCTTGAACTAATAACAGAAAAAAACACAACTTTCATGCAAAATAATCCACTTACATCGTAGGAACGYACACAGCACTCATATACACAATATTATTGAAGGATTGACTGTGGGTGTCAATTCCTTCTCTGTGGTTGCTGCTCACACGGTGCTGCATCACACCAACTAAGAGCGGGAACAGCAACAAGGGAACCGATGCATCATGGGTAATGATGGGCTTTTAACATACACAATATACAGAAAGATACACGTTATACTTCACTATAGCAGGATATATCTGTGCGGTGTGCTTTACGGTGTTATTCACACAAAGCAATATGACCGCAGTATTCAAAGTGAATATTAAATATTAGTACGACAGCAGCATTGTAGAGGTAGATGATTATGAATAAGGTGCAGTAATGTATGATRAGAGTGATAGAGAGTTCTCTACAGTGTGGAGTCTAGGATCTAGCTGATGGATGTCTGATGATCAACTGCTGATGATGGTGATGGTCTGGGGGTAGAAACTGTTCTTGTGTCTGACAGTGAACAGTTGTGTAGCGTCTGCCAGACGGGAGGAGTTGGAACTGAGGTAGGTCCAACTTCCTCAGCTGGCGTAGGAAGTACAGTCTCTGCTGGGCCTTTTTAAGGATGGTGGAGGTGTTGAGCTCCCACTTCAGGTCATATGAGATGGTGGTTCCCAGGAACCTGAAGGACTCTACTGTAGACACGGGGCTTTTGAAGGTTGTGAGGGGCAGCAGTGCAGGGGGGTGCCATGGATGAGTCCGATGACTGTAGTGTCATCTGCGAAGAAGGGACTTAAGTCTGATATTTCTCTCAAGAAGAAGGGAGCAGCTCAACATGACTTCAGGCTCTGAGGCACACAAAAAACTTTAAAGCTGCTGAGTTTTTGATGAAAAAATATCTGAGATTTTCGTCTGTATTCATGATGCAAATGAGTATATTTTATGTCATTTACAGACAATCAGGACAACATAACATTAGTGTGTTGACAGTCTTATCAGGGGTAGGCACAACCATTGTTTAGGTTGTCCGAGACAACCTATTTTCGTTTCGGTCAACCAGATCCTGTCTCCTGGTTGTCCGGTGGACAACCAAACAAAAAGACCTTGATTAAAGTTCTCTGCCGCGGGTGTTTGTCATTGTAAAAATGAATGGGAGAAAAAAACTTGGTAAATCCGAACAGAACTGTAAACTGTAACTTTTAATAAGGTCATGTACACAGTATACTCCTATTTAAGTGAAAATGTTTGACCTATGAGCAGAAAGAAGCTTGTGAATGTTGAACTCTATTTCAAAGAAGAGAACGAGGAAATTTTATTCATGCAGCTCCTGTCAACCTGGCTAACTGAGAACAATTGCATACAGTATAATAAACTTCTTCTACAGAACAGTATACTTGTTAAATTACAATTTACTTGAGATTCTTTTGGACAACCAGGTTTTGTCAACGACAAACTGAAAAATTTCCTTATGTCTACCCCTGCTTATCTTGACATTTCTCCAACAATATCCTTGAACATGAAATCCGAGGCAGTGATTGGTCCATGCTGGTGTTTTTCTTAACGACGTCATCCAGGATCAGCTTTGCAGCACAGCCAGGTGTCACAAATCAGCTCTAAGACTGACAGAATTACTCCTACACTTCACTTAAAGTAAGACTAAGACGCTTGATAACTGACTTTTACTCTCAGCTTTTAACTATTATTTTACACTTAAGTCCACTCAGCAGCATTCTTAAGAATAACTTTAAGAAGTTTGATAAATACGGGCCCAGGACTAGAAAATTTTAAACTAATAGAATATTTGAAATAGGGGTGTAAGAAAATATCGATACACTGAAATATCGCAATATTTCATTTCCCGATACTGTATCGATATTCTAAAGCCCTGTATCGATTTTTTATTAAGGTTTAAAATGTCAACTTTCCTG